ACATAACGATAACTGTTCCCCATGCAAGAAGAGGCCATAGAAATTGTATTATGTTTTATTATTCCTGAAAGCTTTGAAGCAAGGCTACAAGCACTGAAATGAAATGGAGCTTTACGCTATACATTGATACATTCATCTACACCATAACACTCAATAAATCCAGAGAACTGGATTGTGGCGCATGTAAACTGAAGGTAAGTGTTAGTAAAAAATCGTCTGATTTCTCCAATTGATACACGATTACGAAATGCTTCATGCAAAGGGCCGAACAATGTGAGTTCAATCCCTTTTCCAACTGAATTTCATTGAACGAGTGAGGCTCAATTATTTTTGGCTTCAATGCAACAAACGAACGCTGAATTTTCAAAATACAAAAGCATACACTTATACGAACCAAACTTAGAACTTTCAGTGATCTCCAAATGAGATTGGGTTTCGCTGTATTCATTCAAATCATTAAATTCAATATCTACACTGTTAAAAATATGTGTAGTAAATCACTTATTTTGGTGTTTAGCCTTTAAGATGTATGATCACCATGAGTCGGATAATGGTGTAACAGTTTACACCCTATAGCACCCACGTGTGTTACCTTTTTTTTTACTGGGGATACACTTTTCCAGAATTTTTTTCATCTCCGAAAGTGTAAATTGTAACTCTTGAAAAGGGTAATGTTGTTCTATATTATGTGTAACTTATGTAGTGATGAAGAATATGTTAACTCTTGTAAAGTCTAGGGTTACCCAAAGATTCTTAATGTATTTAGTGTAACGTTTGCAATACTAGAGAGTATTTGCTCTTGATAAGTTTGCAGTTATATACAGCTTCTGAAACAAACGAACGTTGATTTTTCAACATACAAAGACGTACATTTCTATCAACTCGGATTTCAGAGCTATTTCCAAATTGCAAGTGAAATTCAAAGCTTCTTTAATTAGACAAGGGATTTCGTTCCAATGCGATTCGTAACAAAATTTTGATCATAAAAAAAAGAAATTTCGTCCTATCATGTTCAAACTAAAATGTCATATCTAATTGCCCCTGACATCAGGCTCAAGAGATTTCTTGTAATTGCATGTACATACGAATACTGTCATATTCATCTGTTAGATACTCGACAATTAACTTAAATTAGAATGGTCTCAATTTCGATGATCATATTAGTTTATTTGGTTAAATCTGTTAAATGTGGCAAGTGCAATTTGGCAACCGGAAATTTGGTAACAGGAAAATTTCTAAAACTTAAAACTTAAAAAAATATAAAATTCAGATAAAACCAATTCACTCTTATAGAAACTTGTGTCGTATAGTCCTATAGCAAATATATCTTGGCCCTCACTTCGTGTAAAAGGCCAAGAATTGATGTGCATGTCTTTACAACGTTTAACATCTTTAATGTTTCAATTTTCATGAGCGATCTTAACATTTAATCCCTGATATATACAATATTGTTCAAGTGGAACATCACTATATAACAAATGAGTCAAATCGCTTGTTGCTCCAACCAGTGGAGTTTCTGACCTCCCAGAAAAGGGGCTGGACCGGCTTTCCCCCCGTCCCCACATTGAATTGTTTTATCACTTTACATAGTGAAAGGATAGCCTGTGACCCCCGTGAAAATTTTGTGACCCCTACTCGGCCCCCACGCCTGATGTCTCCTAGATACGTCTGGTTCAAACTCCCTTTTATTGAACTGTTGAAACTATGTTGCCGCCGTTTTCCGAAAGTTTAGTCTCAGAATCTAGGTTCACCAATTTTCAATGCGACTACCGGTTACCAAATTTCCGATGACCAATTTAACTACAATCCATCAAAAGAACTTTATAAACTATAGCTGAATGCAGCCCGGAGATGTTTTCCAGTAAATAGGAATTGATGGTATAAAAAAAATACATCATGGTGATTGAGTACTGGCCCCAGGCTAGCAAAAGATTTTGTATCCTGTTGATTTCCTCGAGTTACTTGCGGTCACATTACCAGACGCCCCGCACTTGAAAGGCCGCTGTAGGCCGAGGGCAAAGAAAATTTCCACAAAACTGTTATCGGTATGCATCAAATTCGGGGACTTATGTCTGATACTACAAATCCTTCCAGATGTCAAGCTTGCACAATTTTAGAGAATACAGTAGTAGAGAGCATGTCTATTGCAAGTAACCCTTGATCTTGGCAAACAAAATAATTCTGTTTCTAATTGTTCCTCGATGTGCATATATATCATACTGTTTTATGTTACGTAAATCCTACACTATGGAACTTGTTACAAAGCATGCTTATTGCTACCTTTATGTTCTGCTTTGTTACTGTTTTGTGTAACGTTAATGTATACTGTTTCACTTATTATAACATTATACTGTTGTGTGTAACGTTAATTCATACTGTTTCACTTTTTATAACATAATATACAGTTTAAACATAATATACAGTTTTGTATAACGTTAATGTATACTGTTTCACTTATTATAACATTATACTGTTGTGTGTAACGTTAATTCATACTGTTTCACTTTTTATAACATAATATACAGTTTAAACATAATATACAGTTTTGTATAACGTTAATGTATACTGTTTCACTTATTATAACATTATACTGTTGTGTGTAACGTTAATTCATACAGTTTCACTTTTTATAACATAATATACAGTTTAAACATAATATACAGTTTTGTATAACGTTAATGTATACTGTTTCACTTATTATGACATTATACTGTTGTGTGTAACGTTAATTCATACAGTTTCACTTTTTATAACATAATATACAGTTTAAACATAATATACAGTTTTGTATAACGTTAATGTATACTGTTTCACTTATTATGACATTATACTGTTGTGTGTAACGTTAATTCATACTGTTTCACTTATTATAACATAATGTACAGTTTTGAGTAACGCTGAAATATACTGTTTTGCTTATCATAACATAGACTGTTTGTGTAACTTACGTATACAATGATAGTAACATAAACTATTATATTATCAATTCGACTTACCTTAAAATTACTTGCACACCAAAAGAAATGTTTTGACAATAACTAATCCTAAGATAATGATGTTGTATTATTCCATAACGATAAAGACACTATCATTAACAGTAATTCTTTCTAATACTCGATACCACACGGTACATGTGATCATTGCTACACTTTCAACTCACACAAGTTTACATCTTTGAACGCGATGTAGAGAGCAAAGTTGACATATGGGAATGTATTGGAAGTAAAATAATCAATTCTTAAACAAGGCTGTAATGTAAGTGTGTTTAGAATATGGACCAGATCTGTGACGTATTAATTATTCATGACTCCGCATGGTGTAGCAGACGATAATCCACCTGAAGCTGTTACATTGCAAAACTTCCAGACTAATTGTGAAAAGGTCTCATTAGCAAGTTCGACGTGTTTTTGTTTCAACAATAATCAAATTGAATGTGAATATGCTTGTGTTTAAGATATTAATGAGTCTCTTTGCTAAAAGATCGATCGATTTCATCGTCATGGAAACATTGAAAACAAATAGGTAGGACATGATATGGCGAGTTACTTCCCCGTCGGAAGGAAATCATAGGACCGCGACTAGTTATGTCGCGGACGTTCAGTGAGAAAGACGGTTGCTTTCTAATCTGAAGGTCCAGGATAAAATCCCGGCATACGTCGACATTATACCTTCCGATTTTTTTAACCGTTTCCCCTTGTCAGTGATGCATGTTTTCAAAACATTTCATTTGTATCGGGAACACTTCTAGCATCAATTTGAGCCATTTCAATTTTCTATCAGACGTCGATGGTTCATGTAATACCACTTAAACTAAGCGTTTTATGACGTCACTATCGCAAAATGGCTTATTCTTAGGGCAATTGTATAAATAACGGAAGTCTGTATAATATATCTATTAATTGAAAGGGTATGAAAAAGACAATTCTGCCATTTTGGGGGTTGATTTGGGTCTTGAATATATGTAAATAGTCTTCAGAAGTACTAGAAATGCACAAAAATCGAATTTATGACAGAATCTGAAAAACGAATCGTCTTCTTAACTTCCTATGGGGTTAATTCTGAACACACGTGGATTTGAAGGCTCAAATTTCGACGGTGAGCGGTAAACACTATTACTGATAAGCTTAGCTAAAAAAAATCCCGCTCATTATGGCGAACATGTCCCTTCAATATAACAAAATAACTCGTCATTTTAGAAATACACTTCATTATTAAAGTGAGTATGCATGACGCAAATTCATTAACAGAGTGTATGTAATATTTAACAATACATTCAATTGACAAAAAATGAAAATAGAGAATGAAATTTTCAATAGAAATGAATTGAAAAATAGAATAATAATTCAAAGGGGAACTGTCTACAATCATACGACCGAAAAATGTTTTCGCCAAGTTGTCAATCAAACCACAAAGAAACACAACAAGTTTGACATCATTGCTACAACCAATATTAACAAAAAATGACACAAAATAGTTATTTCTTTGCAACCATAATCGCTTTGACCTATTTGAATTTGCCTGTGACCATTTACCTGTGACCAATTTCCCTTGTGACCAATTTCCCATGTGACCATTAACCTGTGGCAAGTTTCCCTACTAACCAATTCAACTTAAGTTTAAGTCAAGTTAACATCTGGGAGTTTGTTTACAAAATTTAGGACATATCATACCAAACGCCCAAACTGGCACTTCATGGATTCGGTTACAAATTGATTTTCTAAACTTTAGCAACCTCTAAAACATCTAAACGTGCAAAATAGAGATGCGTTGAACAAGCGTTACTACATGGATTGGTGGTTTGTAAAACCAAGACACCTGATCTATGCCCCTTGAAATACAACACATAATTATATAGCATTATAACATAGAACGCACATAAAAGAAAAGATCTACAATGGGCCAACTCTAGTAATAATAACTTATTTCTGATTGGGTCTCCAATACAAGAAGGAAGTCATGAGAGATATATGTTTTCAATTTCGATCAGTTTAAAGCTTGAAATGTCTGGATACAATAATTTAGTTTATCTGGTGTTTTGTTTTACGGTGAGTATTTAGTGGACAGTGGTCAACGTTTTTCATTTCTAATATCTTATCTTTACTCTTTTTTACACAACTTTTGATAGATATTCGTAGACAGAAAACGGCAAATGATTAGATTCCGAGAAAAAAACCTCAGTTGAAGATTCGCCATTCGTTTGACCAATAGTACCTTAGTCTCAGAAACGATATTTCAGTAATAGTGTTCACAGCTCAGTTCAAATCCATGTGTGTCTAGAAGTTAAATGACGACTCGTCTTTTTTTAAGACTCAACCGTATAAAAAAAATATTTTCATAGAAATAAGATGTTTCTCGTTTTAAATATATTTGAAGGGAATGTGTGATTTTCGTGCAGTTTCAGTACTTATTCTTAGATTACGATTCGTTTGTATATCAAATACAATATATTAAATATTGTTTCCTTGATTTTCACAGATCTGCATATTTTTGTCGTTTCAGGTCTTTCTTAACATTAGTAATGTCGCAAGCTTGGTCACACCACCCATAGGTAATCATATGATTTTTTATCTATATTTCCAGCATCAAGCCCAAATTTTGCATGATGGATTGGTCACGTTTGTTTGCTAACCTGAAGGCCCAGATTTCAATTCCTCATAAGTCTAACTATTTTGCTACAGGCTATTTTCCTAAAATTCCATAATTAGCATTCCAACCCCAATCAAAAATTCATTAAGCTACCAACAACCAACAAATATAGTATTCCAGTTTTCTGACATCCTGTAAACCAACTCCCCAGTCGGCAATCCTCGGCAGTTTCCGTAAAAAGTTGAATATATTGGACAAATGTAACATTCCTCGGTGTCAAGGAATTGTTACACCAGGTAGGGAAGATATTTCTAACGAGTCTTTTGATTTATTACAGATCAGTGTAATCTTATCAATGGAATGGATCGTCCTTTAATTATACCTGACTCCAGTATTTCTACTTTTCCCTACGTTGATCCTGAAAGAGTAAGAGCAGGAGAAGCATGGTTTATAGCAGGTATTAAGCCTATTATAATTATTAACCTATCACTATCATCTACTGAAGAAGTTGAAATAAGAAGTGTATCTGTTAATGTGTGGAATGTTGAATTTATAGACGTTACACCAATTTCTTCAAATGATGTCGAGAAAACCAGCGATATCGTAACAAAAGTGAGTGTTTATTTTCAGTATTTTATAATATGACAAAGCCATGATACTAAGGTTAAACTTGAATAAAGTCTTTGCATTTTGATATTAAAGGTCTGCAAACGACACCTTTTATTTTGCAAGTACACACTGTGCAGTATAACAAACGCTAAATTGTGTTGCACATATAAAATAATTATGTAATGGTGCAAAATACATTGGCTTTTTTGTCATTCGTGGTTGGGATAAGCAGAAATATGCAATCAGGGGAAATAGATTTAATGGGACATTTTCCATTTTGGGGGTTGATTTTAGTCTTAAATATATGTAAATAGTCTTCAGAAGTACTAGAAATGTACGAAAATTGCATAAATACTTCAAACAAGCAATTTTATTCACTATTTCATTTTAAAATTAAATCGCGGATATATCTTGACGCACATTGCTTTGAAGGCTCAAATTTTGACGTTGAGATCTGAACCCTATCAGTTCCGTTTCTGAGACTAAAGTATGATTGGTGAAAAATATGGCGCATCTGTCACTTTAATATTTCAAGAGTCTTGGCGAATCTAACAAAAATTGAATATGGACTATAGGCTATATATGCTGTTTTAGATTTAGATTTATTGAAACAAAAGGGTAATAGCCAATTGTGGTATCCGAAATTTCGACTTGTGGAATCCAAAATGTTGACTTATGTGGATATGTGAATAATATACTCAGAAAAATAAAAATAAGACATTTTTTTGATTTTTGAGGTGTGACTTAAAGGCTTTCGTATCTTAGCAAAGCAAAAAGATTTTTTAATTTTTTTTATATTATGTAAGAAAATTGAAATATCAGCCTCAAGATTGTACTTTTCGTTTACATTAAAAAAAAAAAAACATATTGCATTCTGCGACTTGCTGTACTATTTTAAGGCGGCTGTTCTAATTCAAAAAGTTTTATTATTTTTTTTTTACTTTGCTCAGACCAGTGGCGGCGCTAGCCTCCTGAGAATGTCGGTACAAATAGGGGACAACTTTCTAGGTTGAATTCAAAATGCAGCAACTATGTGGTGGAGTCATAGTCGCAAGCTTCTCATGGAGCGCCTGAGAGAGATCTCCAAAGAAAAAGTTTGAAAATTGGATTGATTCGGTGCATTCCAGCACAGGTATTGGGCATCCACGGCAATTACGGTCTGTCAGGTTAGCCTATCCCCTCACGTTCTTAGATAAGATTTTATTGTACATATACGCCCTTTGTGGCCAGCACATGAAATATACAATAATTTTTATTGGAGCAGTTGTGTTGTAATATGCTTTGATTTTTCAATTTATCAGAGAGTCAGTGGTTTAGAAGCAAGTATTTCTTTCCCAAACGATGTAACAGCTGATAAAATCCGAATTGCTTTGTCACCAACAGACAGCAACTTAGTAGTGGGCATAACTTCAAAATTGGACGTAAGAGCTTGTTTCCAAAGTAAGTAAAGCCTGCACACTTTGCATACTCGTATACCAATATACGATAATTTGTTGTGATACTATATCTAACATCTAACAAGTCTGATTTTCGATAAGTAGAGTGAAAAGTGGTTGTGCCCACGCAGACACACGGCCAATCTTTTTTACGGGCCACAAAATTGTTTGTGCAAACAACAATATTGTTGAAATGTGCTTTAGTGATAATCTTAATTTTTGTAATATTTTAGAGCCTGATAAAGTACATAATTTAGCTGTCATTTCAATTGATAACAACGAAACTTTTGCTGTGGTAACCTGGAAATGTCCAGTGGAAAGCAGTCTCTTTATAAGGGGCTATGAATTGACCTCTTCTTTAGACGTAGTCGTAACCTACTTTTAAAGGCCATGGTTGGCTATTTTCGGGGATAGATTTGGGCCTTGAATATATGTAAATAGTTTTAAGAATAAGTAGAACTGCAGTAGAACACATTTCCTTCAAATATAGGTCTATTTCAAACTAGAAATTTAAATAATGTCTGTCCACGTAGTCTCAATAAAAGAGGAGTTGTCAACTTTCAAACGCAGATAATTCCCGACAAACATGGATTTGAAGGCTCAAATTTCGACGGTGAGCTGTGCACACTATTACTGATTAGCTAAGCTAACAATTTTCCGTTTCTGAGACTAAGGTACCATTGGTCTAACGGAAATCGAACGCATCCCTTTGACGCATCCCACTTAACTCACTTTGCATCTAATTAGAATACGCAGGCACCAGATTGTGGTAAAAAAATCATACCTCTTATATCATAGTATCTTAATATAAAGGTTCGCAAGTAGTCATTTTGTTCTTCGAATCTCATTAAAGTATCTGGAGCGGAAGTAAACTATAATTACGTCATAATACGCGATGAATAAATTCCTGTCCATTGATTGGTAATTGGCGAGGATTCTTCAAAACGTGTTGCTGTTAATTTGTTTCCAAATATTTTATTATTTTTTATTTTAAAACTGCTTCTAACAGATATCTTTTGCAAGAACATATACCATGCTAAAATAGCATCTTTGGACATTATTAGTTTTTATTTAATTCTGTAGTTGAAATTCCCGCAAAAGGAATTTAAATAAGTCCGGAGAATGATGTAATCAATGTTTACTTCCACTTCTGTACTTTTATTTGAAGAATGAATTAGGATATTTCTATAAACATGTTAAACTGTAAAAGTGATGATTTTTTTTTGAAAGAAATACCATACAATGCAGTTCGAATGTCAAAGTATATAAAGATATGTAAGAATATCGAAGGAAAAATGAGTAAGAGTATGATGCCCAGAACAAAATGGCTACTTGCGTACCTTTATACTATAGTTAAAGAAATATGACTTTTATTTTACCAGAATCTGGTGCCTGTGTTAGAAAATAACTTACAAAAGATTTAAATAGCATGAAATTATTAGTGAGTAGCTTATACCAGATGATGTTTTCTTTTTTAATAATTTACAGAATGAACGACCAAGATTTATTGAACAGAATAAGAATTGTTCATTTACAGAATTGGTGCGCGTCCGTGCTGGCATAAATATTAAATTTTCTGTTGTGAGTAATACTGTTTCATTACATTTTCTTATTACCCTTTTGTTTTAATAAATCAAGCCAGGCTCCAACTAAACGATAATCCATATTCAATTTTTGTGAGATTCCATCTTGGAATCACGTGGCTGTTGTGCGCAATTCGCTTAGCCTCTGGAAATATTAAATCGATTTCCAACGATTGCACATTTCTGCATATCCCAACCACGATTGATGAAAAAGCCAATATATTTTGTATATACGAAAGAAAGTTTGATTTGTGGCAATCTTCTGCACCATTACAGTCATAATCATTTTAACTTAAAGGTGTCGTTTCCGAACTTGTAATGATCAAAATGCAATTGAATTCAGTTAAGCTTAGTGTCACGGTTTTGTTCTTTTCTCATTTTTATTCACAGAGTGCATTTGAAATACTGGAAGGAGAGGTTTCCAGTGTGGTCTATTATAAAGAAAGGGGTAAGAATGATCCGTAATATTTTCTGTAAAATTGAATTTACATCTGTAATGAATCAAAGGAATCATTGTGTATTCTGTTACTTCCGGAATTGTACTATTTGTTTTTGTCACGTAATTGTAACATTGTAACGTGAATGAGCCATTGAGAGACAGTGACTCAATAGATGAGTTAGGGCCCGTGGACTTTAGTGCTTTGGGGCCTCTACCCCGGGATTTTTTTTTACATTTGATCTCTTTCATTCTAAGACCTCTCTATAAGATTTTTTAAGATGTCATTTCAATCATAAACATATATTTTGATTTTGTATTTTTTGGGATGAGTCCAGTGGACTTGGTATATGAGGCACTGTCGAGAGATAATTCTGACCCTCAAGTATGGATTCAATGCTATATCATGATTATCAGTTAATGGATTAATGATTTTATTATCATATTGAATCAATATATCTTGATTTGCTTACAAACATTTGGTATTAAAGATAACGTGATCACATGACAATCTGCTTATTGTACCGACACCATTACTGCTGTCGAATAATTTACGAAAGGTTCAATTGACTTAAATTGTCAAGAATATATAATGTGTCTCTTCACAATACAATTGATTGAATACGAATAATTGTTAATTGACTTTCGATTCAGATACTACAACTGAAAGAAGTACGAGAACGAGTACGAGTACGTCAGGCAAAACGAGTGGTTCATCGGTTGAAGGTATTGTATTTATAAACAGTGTCGATAAGATTTTTTTTACAAAGATGTGTCGGCGCCTCGATTAGTACTTAATCTTACAGCACCGGTCGGTATATGATGAGATATTGCACGAAAACCTGTTTATAAATAGATTTAACCAATTATCATCTAATCGAAAAGACAGTAATGACAGCAAAAATCAACGTATTTTTTTGTATGAGAAATTTCTGGAAATATGCTTTGGGCATAGAAAGGCGGCTACTTCTAGGGGTTTTCTTTTCATCAGTTATCCATTACTCCATACAGTGTTATTCATATATTTAATACAACTGTATTTTTCAGAACCAGATATAGTTCTACCTTTACTATTAAGTTTGGTTTTTGTCTTACTTCTTGTAATAGTAGTAATGGTTATTGTCGTCATTTGCTGTAGGCGTAAAAGGTTGATAATAATTGTAAATTATATACCACATACATGCAATATTGTTAGATTAAGAGCTACACTACTGCTTTTTTTCTTCAGCATTTATTGGCACACATTGTGAAAATATAAGCTGTTGGGTGGACACATAACCAGATCGTACTAATTGTTAAACTGTTAAATTTTTAAATGGAACCTTATTTGACTACGTCACATGACTGATTTGAGTCTTGAATATATAGTCAGAAGTACTGGAACTGCAAGAAAGACACACAATCCCTTTTCAATATACCTCAAACGAGAAATTTCACTTTCTATTTCTATATACATGTATAATATGGTATCGTAATTTTCAAACGCTGATAATTCTGGACACACATGGATTTGATGGCTTAAATGTTGACGTTGAGCTGTGAACACTATTACTGAATTTCCGATTTGCAAAATTCTCGTTTCTGAGACTAAGGTGCGATTGGTCAAATGGATGTAGAACCTGTTTCACTAATCTGATGTCTGTTAAAATTACAGGGGTAAATCTGAAGGAAGAACAGAAATGAGACATACTGTTCTTAATGATATTATTAATACAGAGAGTGATAGATCTGATTCAGAAGGGTAAGTCTAACACATGAAAATCTAGAACATAAATTATTTGTTGTTTTATTTCGATTTGGATTAAAAATGCAAACTGTGACATAATACGTATTTATAAAACTTGGGATGGTCATTCGATTAATTTTGACAGTCCACTTCTGTTATGACATTAATCATATTATGTATACATGGAAATAATGTAGACGTATATTGCTATTCGGTCATGTTTGTTCAGTTCCAAAAAAAACAATGTTAGACTTTTAGCAAAAAAAAGGAATTTTTAAAAAATCTCCAACTGGAATTCAAACCCACGACCTCACAGTTGCCGAGCAAGTGCTAGATCTAGGGTTACAAGTTTGGGTGAACTAGGGTTAAGTTTAACCCTAATTTTAATTTGGAATCATGTGATAACGCTCGCATACGAAGATGGGGCTGTTCAGATGAGTCATTGCCCTTGATCTAAACATATCATATTAATCTGATTCACCTAGGAGTTCTTGCTCTTTTTCAAACCGGACAAAATTAGTTTGATTAAAGCAAAAGTTTGCATCCACTTCGGACGGAACTTGGTATGATTATTTGGATTGCTTGTGTCTTTCAGAGCCCAAGCTAATACCAGACGTAGAGAGGTTTTCAATGAAACATGTATGGACGATGACAAAAAATTGTATGAAAATCTTCAGCAACTGCCACATGCCAAGTAAGTGCATAATATCAGTCCGTAACTACACTACTTATTGAGGTTTTAAAGAGATATTGCCAAATTTTATTAGAGGGTTTGATAGCATGTACAAGTCATCGTTCTAAAAAAAATAGCTGCTCTCCAATAGTTAACGGTTGTTGAAATCAGGGCCGTGCCGTAATGGAGGCCAATAAGACCAATCCCTTCACTTTTGAAACGACGACGCACTTTTTTAAATAATGTATTACGTGTTACGTAGTATACCATAAAATTGTGTTCCGTTATTTAATGTGATGTCTACCCCTAAATGTCGCTAAACGATTATATAGGTAATGTGATTTGGAATAAATATTTATTTTATAATTTCAGACTCGCACCCACCACATCTCTAAATAACGAAGAAAAGTATGAAAATCTTCCCATTGCCAATGTAAAACAAAGTTCAATGCCATTCACCAGGTATGATATTCTTTGAGTCTGTTTGAAGCAAAGTGGATGGGGTGATTTCTCTCAAATGTTCAGGCCTAAAATAGAACATTAATTTCCTTCTGAAATTGGAATAGGAGCTATCTGGTGGTCCAGAACGGCTCGATAATAATCTTTTAGCCTCTCAACCTCTTTCATATACATGTACGTATAATCTGACTGTCAGTAAACAAAGAAGTGCAGTAAGCCCATCTGTACCCCAGCTTTATTTTTAACAAATTTAAAATAATATGGTTTTTATACGTCCCAAAAGATTTGTCAGTTCGCACCAAATCAATTCAATTTTTCGAAAACAAATTTCATAGGGGAACCATCTCCCCATTTAGTCAGTTTGTCCCCTATGCGTACTCCCAGGAGGCTGGCGCCGCCACTGCATAAAAACAGAGATTTATGCCAAACGGTTTTGTCATGTCTAAATATCTTTCATTGCACAAAATACATTGTGACTTCACGAGTCCAATAAAATGTAGAATGACGC